CCCCCTCTGGAATGACCTTGAATGATGATTCAGAAAAGAGTCCATAATTTAAACACTTCAGTGTGTCTGAACTACGATATCTTCTCATTTGTTAAGATAAAACTTCTTTACATAACTATATTATAACCCCAAACTCTAGTTAGCAGTGGGAAAATGAGATTACCACAGTAAACATGGCAATCTGATTGACATAGTAAACAACCCTGCGGCACATAATCAATTTAGGCTTCTGGCAATATTGAATGGGAAGTCAAAATATTTTTTGGCTGTTACCCTGCCTTATGTTTGTAATAGTTCTGCATTCATGAAAACATATGCATTTATAAAAACACTTCTTGTACTTATAATTTAGATTTGCAGATGATACTACATGTGGTTTGGATTTAAGAAGAGACAAATATTCCACCAAAGCAGAAATCCATTAAAATCCTAAAATCATTTCATCTAAATTTCTTACATCAGCATATTACCTAAGAAAGTTTTATGTCAGTATAAAATCATGGTTCCATCATTCTAATAGGTTAAATGTATCAAATAAAATTCTTCTCCCATAAAGTAAATCTTGAGTATGTTGAATTCAAATAGGTACTAATGGCCTTTCCTGTCTAGCATTATTTTCTGTAGTGCTTTTCATCATTTCTGATTCCCCTAAAGATACAAAATTATTCTTCTGTTCTGACCACTTGAAGTTTTCTTACAATTTTTGTTTCATCTTTTTTTTTTTTTTTTTTTCTTAAACAGCGGGCTGCTTTCTTGCATTATACATTTGTCCTACTCTCCAAACTGAACTGCTCTCTTATAAAGCTAGGTCTTTACTCCCTGGAATTCTATAGAGCAAGAATAGAATACTGGTAATATAGGTAGCAAAAACAAAAGTATTTCTTCTTCCTGGAGTATAGTAATAATAATGCCATAGAGCCTATATAATACTGAAATTTTATTTCTTTTCTGTTTCTTTCTCCAGAAAAAGCAATATAAATATTGAGTGTCAAATAGCTATATTTGTTGGGACATCTTGCGTATCGTATTTCCTAAACTTAACAAAGTCACAATCGCTGTGTATTAAACGCAAGCAATGAATCATGGAACTCTATATCAGAAACTAATGATGTACTGTACAGTGACTAACAACATAAAAATAAAAGTCACAATCATACTTGAAAACATTATAGTCGTTAAAACAAAATCAATTTTGAACAGATCCTTTGATTAATAAATTATGTTGTAGCTAGGAACCCCCAGGAAACTGATTTGTTGAGCAATATATTCCATGCATTTTCCAACCCACACACCTCATCTTTCAACTCTGTATTTTAAATAGGTAATAGTAAATGCTCGTGATCTTTTGAGTCCTCCTCTAAAAGTATTGTTATTGGGTTATAACTAAGTAATTGAATTTGATTTGTATCTACATTATTTAATTAACCTTAATATTTTCCAGAACAGTCAAGCTCATGTTAGACCTTGGAAGACCAAACAACATTTTGTAATAATTATTACCACTAAACTAGCATCATTAAAAAACAACCATTAGTGGCTCTTCAAATTTGTGGATATCACCTACCAAACCACAAATCAAATTGGCATGTTCTTCATTTATTTTTTATTAGCTGTTAACATTAGACAGAATTCCCTGTTGAAAGTCAAGATTAGCTGGCATGGGCTTAGTATTTGTCATTGATTGAGTTTATACAAAAGCATGTGCTAACTGTTAATTATATCTATTAATGAGTTTTGCATTGTAATTTGAAAATGCCTTACTGAGAATACACTTTATTTAAGACTACAAGCACCACTTATCACTTATCAGTATCTTTTTCAGATACAGATTTTGATCTTAAAAAAGGTCAAGTTGAAATAATTCAACTCATTTATATTAAAATGTGAATGACTAGGTACGGATATGCTTATATTAAACATTTAAATGACTTCTACAAAAATGAGATCAGAGATTAGGAATCTATCTTGCTTTTGAAACTGAAGAGTCAGTAAAGCTGCCTGCCTCTTGATCTCCATCCCTGATTACACTGGACCCAAGGTAAAACTATCTACCTGTCTTTATGGCTTTTTAAAATAGGCAATCTTTAAATCTAGGCTTTTCCTAGCATCTCTTTATGGTGCTCTGAAAAGAACCATAAATTCTGGCTTTGTGCACAACATTAAATAGAAAAGCAAAAAAAGATTTTTTTTTAAATAGTTAATAAAGTTCACTGGCATCAACAGTCCTATGTATTGTAGGTTTTTAAGAAAGTCACCTCTCAAGATTAATTATGTAATTGGATGAGACGTAAATTCATTCTTCAAGAAAAACTGGGTTGAAGTCCACATGGTCCAGCTGATGACAAACTCTGTCACTTGGGTCTCACTGTGTGGACCTGGCATTAGAAACAACTTCCAGGATAAGAATGACCCATGAAGAAAAGGGCAGAGAAGGAGAAGAAGGAGAAAAACAAGGGACCTTTGATAATATCATGTTTTTCTAGAAGCATTATGTTGAAATCCTTGGTGCCTAGCTGAAGGCTAAGTCCCAGTCACCTAAACAAATTTATTTAAGCAACAGAGGTGGTGAGCATCTACAAAGCTTGTCAGTACTCTATAACCTCAGGATGAAGACTCTTTAAAATAAAAATTCTAGAAAAAAAAATGGAGGGCTGTAATTTTATCCCACTGATAAGTAAGATGTTTGACATCTCTAAAATTTCATATTTCAACTTAGTGAATAAAATACAGTAAGAGTTTTTATTAAACCAGGAACTAGTGATTGATCTAGAATACTCCTAAGAACACACACACACACACACACACACACACACACACAGATGGCATGCCAATAATACTACCCATCCAACCAATTTTCACAAGATATTTAAATCTCTAAAGCTGGAATTTGGCAATATTCCTTCCTTAGCAAGAATTAAATCAATTTAATGGCATAGGGTGAATGTTTTAAATGGAGTTTGGCAGAATAAATTATTCCATCAAATCACTGTCAATTTTTTTTTCCCTTCTTCCTCTTCTACTTTGTGTCCAAAAAAAGGTTATTTATCTACAGTTTGGTAAAGTCCTGGACAGCAGAATCGATAAGGAAAGACTGCCTCTCAAATAAACAAGTACAGAGCCATTCTTTTTAACAAAAAGCAAGACCAAATTTTCAGGAGAAAACATCCTAAGTAAAATGAATAAACAAAATAAAACACCCATTGGGTCATATTTAAGTGCTGCCCTTGTGAGTTCATTTAAGAATATTCAATACTCCTTTAGTAACATGCAATATACTTTTACATGGATTACAAGGGCCATCTAATACGACAGGGTTCCATAACTGAAATGATTAGAAAATATAATGAGAAAGAATTCCTAACAAAGGATTCAAGTTCATGAGCTAATTGTGGGCAGGATTCCATCCAATACAAGGCCTCTGGGAAAATCCTTCCGTAAGTATGTAGGATATTCATTTGCTTCTATATTACTATCTTTCAGTAAAATACATGTCCAACAAAACACACCTCAACACGTGGAATATTAACAATATAGGAGCCAACATAAAACAGATATTCATCCAAAGTTACCCCCACACATCTGAAGGTGGATATTATAATCTCTGCTTTGAGTTCATCATGATATCGTACTCAGTAAGAGTTCATCTCTATAATACAATATCAAAGAGAAGTAAAAAGGAAGACATCTGCAGGAACATCTCTTCCCTCTGCCCATTTCCACCCCCGTCCCCCTCCACCCTCTTCTTTTAGCAAGAGAAATTTCATTTTGGAGAGAATGTACTTGGCATTTGACACATCACATAACGTTTACGCAAGAGTTAACCATTTTTAGAACAAACTGTATTATATATATTTTTTCTTTCCTGGAAATTCCCAAGTGATTCAACCAACATGATCAATCATTGTAATGTCCTCTGTTGTATTGCAAATATTATAGTTTCCTTTGTTCCTTCCTTTCCTCCTTCCTTCCATCCATCCATCCTACCTTCCTTTCTTCCTTCTTCCTTCCTTCCTTCCTTCCTTTTCTCCCTCCTTCCTTCCTTCCCGTTTAGACACTGCTCATTGAGTCAACTTTCTGGCTTGCATTTGGTGAGTGTAATGCCCCGTCTTAGGCAAGGAAGGAGGAACAGTTCTAAACAGCAGCTGTCAAAGGCAGAATCATTGCACAACCAGGCACCTGGTGTTACATTAGCAAGTGTCACCATGCAGTGCCAATAGGAAGAGTAAATTGTTCCCAGTTCTTTTCTCTGATCTGTTCCCCGTCAACGAGGAGGCTTGGACAGAATCGTATTCTCTCCCCATCGCTCTATCAGTAGGGTAGAAGGGTTTACCTAACCATGGAAAATAAAATCAGACTAGAACTCCATAAGAGCTGTATGACTTTTCTCACACTGGCATAAGACTAAAAAAAGCAGGGCTGGTCATTAAGTCCTAATTAAGCATTAGCATGTAAGCAGAAACATTATCTCACATCGTCACAAACACACAGCATCAGATAAAAGCAGCAAAAAAACATTCCAGTCAGCCTTGGTAGCCAGGAAATTCTTTTCAAAGGTGTTTCCTTTTTAAGCTTTCCCAATTTGTACTCAGTAATAAGTTAGGGACTTAAAGTAATGTTCTAAATATTCGCTTTCGATAAATAAGTAAATAAATAAATATTCCCTTTCTGTGTGTGTATTATGTGATTCAAACTAGAATACAAATTTCCCAACCCATCATAAGCGGTTTGATAAATTGTGTCACAAAACTCATTCTATCATAACTGCTATAATGTACTTAAACTATGCAAAAGTACAGAAGTTAAAAATAGAACCAAATTAAGATCTCTATATGGAGCAGATTGATAAGTGTGGCACAGCAGGGGGCATTTTCAAGTGGTCTTGTATAGCAAATATTCCATTCCTTGTGTGCCATTTAGTTTAAAAAAAAAAAAAAATGACATCCACTCTCCCATCCACCAAGGCACTCCACCCCACACACAGGTATAAAAAAACAACTTACACAATTTCATCGTTCTGGAATTCAAGCTCTCCACAAGTGTCCTCGAAGTCCTCGCCTCCGCCTCTGGCCGTCCCTTCGATGGTTTTATAGGGAACGATAACATTTCCTCGAGCTCCAGATGTTCTCAATACCTTCACCTCCATAATGCCAATGCTCTCACTCACGTGAGTCACAGGCTCCTCAAAGGTAAAGATGCCTGCGTGGTCATCATCAAAAATGGTCACAGTGGCGGTGGAAGGAGATCCGAGGCAAGCAAGTGTAGAAACATGATTGGCTTCCAGGATGCCATCTTCTGAGGCATCACAAGAGACTTTGACATTGCTCAAATGCACAAGGAAATTTTCATCCTCCTCAAAGATATCGTCATCGATGATGCCAACTCTGATTTCCTTCTGGGTCTCACCAGGCTTGAAGACCACAGTTCCTTCGGTAAATTCATAATCAGACCCAGCATTGGCCGTGCCATCCTCTGTTCTGAAGTCAACAAACACAGTGTTAGTCAAATCGCCACCTCTGCGGATAATGGTCAGGGCGACAGTACCGCAGTTCTCCAGACACTGATAGGTCCCTTGTTCAAAGAAGATCTGACTCACGGGGTCATTTTCTGCCACTTCAGTGTTGACCTCATGCATGCTGACAGCCTTCCTTGCCTGGTCAGCTGCGTGCCTCTTTAAAATGTTGCCGGCTCCAGTCATCAGGCGGGTAGCTTGGATGCGGTAAAAAGCTCGACTCTTTTGCTGCTGACTTAGGACTTGGTAGTTAGCTAATTCTATTAATTGCTCTATTTCTTTCTCCGGGTGCTTCTGCTTGAGCTCCTTCAGAATCCTCGCCATTTCTCGCCTGGCCTCTTCATCATCTTGGTCCCTCTCATCGACCTCTAGAACAAGAGCGCCATCTAAGAAATTGTCAACGTGGGAATTGACCACTTTCCCATCCATTTCAATTTCAGTCTTGGAAGATGGCCTGTCTCCTTCATGCTCGATGATCATTCCCCTCTGTTTGCCGGCCCGATACCTCTTGTAGACATACTTATAGAAAAGAAGCCTCCTATCTGCTACCCAAGCGAACACGACACAGATGGGAAAGAAGAAGAAGGTAAGTAAACCTTCCCAGACCTCCACGACCCCAGGAGAGATGACGGACAAAATAATGTAAAGCCAAGTATAGGCAAAGATGCTCCAGGCTGCTGTCACAAAGAACACACGCAAATGCTTTATCTTCCTCGTCTCTCCATCTGGGACCACGTAGACACAAAGGGCGATAATGATGAACATATTGAATGCAGCACTTCCCACGATGGTGCTAGGACCCAGGTCTCCTGCAGTAAAGTTATGGCCGCACACTTCAATTACGGAAAGGAGAATCTCTGGAGCAGAAGATCCCAGGGCCATCAAGGTCAAGTTGGAAACCGTCTCGTTCCAGATCCTCACAGTGGTCTTGGTGGTCTCTCCATTGGGTTTCTTTATAGTTATTTCTTTTTCTTGAGATGTGATGACTTCTATAGAGGACATGAACCGGTCAGCAATGATAGAGACTCCAAGAAACATGTAGACCATGGCCACAAAATACACAGTAGCTCTAGCAATTTTGTCTCCAAAGGAAGGGTCTTGGGGCTCCCAAATGGGTAAAATCACCCCCTTCTTACAGTAATATGAGCCAGTACACTCGCCAGTTTCATTGACTTCTCCTTCCATTTCTATCTCTGCACTTATAAGGTCCACATGGGAAAATAAGAGAGCCACAATGGCTAACAGATGACATCCCATCGAAAAGGTAGGTGAGGGTCTTAACTGCAGCATGTTGTACAATGGTAGACTTCCAAGTGTCCCAACCTACTGGGAAAAATAAGATGGAGGGAGGGTGGGGAAAAAAAAATCACATCATCAGAGCCAGATCCAAAGCATGACCAATTACTGATTTTTATTGCTTTTACCAATGATTTGTTTAAATTTGACTACCATAATACCTATGGTGAATAATTATTCTAAGTATCCATCAGTGATTAAGCAATCTTTTGAAAAATTTACAACTCAATCTCTCCACGTGTGGATTTTCTACTTGTAGTCTCCATTCACTGAGCAATGTACACAATTGATTTATTGGAAATGAAAAGTTCAATTATAACCTTGCTTTGTTGAATACATAGTTATGCAAGCCAATAAGGGGAGGAAAAAAACCTTTTGATGCATTAAATAATTTTCTCCTTGTTGCTAATGCAGATTTTCTTTTAAATTTTGGTTAGTACAATTACCTTCCCAGAAACCGTTTCATTACCAAAATCACCTTATTAAGACTGATACTTTAAAGTTCAGACTCTAAAAACCTAGCCAACACAAGGCCTTTTGATGATCTTAAATTCTGGAGCAGACCCTGTACCGCAGTTTTTGAAATCACGTCCCATTGCACCAAATGGACTTGGAAACACAGAGATCTCTTCAAGCTTTCCTACAAAGTCAACGGAAGTTGTACTTGAGGGGGACAAGAAATCTTCTGTAATACAATCTTTCCGCACGTTAAGTACAGTTTTGAAAAGCACATTTTGCTGAGAGCACATTTCCTCCTCATTTTCAGCAAGCCCAGTCAGTGCTCCTGTATGTTAGCAGCTGGGCACTTGGGTCTCGAAGCACAGTGCTCCACATCTGGGGACAGATCTCGCACGAGAATCTGTGGCTGTCTGCAACAGGAAAGGGAGATAACAGTCCTGGGTCTAGTTATGTGTTAAGACCCTTGTCTGGCAGGCTGTGAAATCAGCTTTACCAGTCATAAAATGTTCCTTCTTGGGGTTGATGTCATCCTTTCCATGGCCATTCTAAAATACATATTAGTTCTACAGAGGGTTCAAGTGACCAAAAAAAAAAAAAAAAAAAAATACAGGAGCTGTAACTCCAATTAGCTCATGTGACAGAACAGCAGTGACCACAAACTACACATCTGATGAAGGGCTGCAGGCCGTTACCGATCAAGCAGGAGAGTCACCGAGCCACACAGGGCCTGGTAGACGAGGCCAAGGGGCAGACTGAGAAACCATGGCTCTGAATTCACCCACCAGCTCAGGCAAAACGCCTCTCTGCCCAGATACCACTTCTGCCCCCTGAGGCTTTGTAAGGTGCTGACGGAGAGGAGGGTCTGCTCTAAGTCAGGGTAATTCCGGCCTAGAAGGCCAGTTCCAACATCAGACAAAGTGGTGGCAAGGGGGCGTCCTGAGTCAGAACATAGTCTTGTGGCCTGATAAAAAGTTCACAGTGGAGCTAGACTGGAACCTTCCATAGCCTGGCGCGGTCTGAGAGCCACCCACGCACTCACCTACGTTCTCTGGCCCAGGTTGGCCACTCATGGCAGGGAGTGGAAATTCACCAAGGCCCGGGCGGAGCCCCCTGGTCCAGCACTTTCTGGCAGACCCTCAAAGAGCCCACCATTTGCCTAAAGCTCCTTTTAGCTCATCACTATGGGGAGATAAGCTCTGACAATTTTCTCAGACAAGCCCCGGCAGAAGGTTCTGATGGCAGAGTTACATTCTATATAAAAGGCTGAAAAAATAGAAAAAGTGTCTTTTCAAAATATGCAAGATTCATGGTCAGTGGGTCTACTTAATCAGTCATTACAGGGGTCGGGTGGGATCGCCACTCAAAATGAGGAGACACCGAAGCAACCTACAAGAGTAGTGGAAGGTCTAACTCTAATTCCATCATGAGCCATTTATTCCACAAATATTTATGGGTGCTGCCTAACTACGTGTTTCAGAATCACCTACTAGGCTCTCTCCTAGCACCTAAGAGTGCATCAGAGAATTAAAAAAACAAAAAACAAAAAACAAAACAAACAAACAAAAAAACAACAAAAACAAAGTCTCTGTCCTTGCAGACCATATATTCTATTGGGGAGGAAACAGACAAATAAATAGAAATGTCAGATGCTAAAAAGTGCTAGAGGGATGGGGCAGAAAGCAATGTTAAGTAAGACAAGGAGTCTGCATGTGTGAGTGTGTGTGTGTGTGTGTGTGTGTGTACACACACAGCACGCAGGATTTTATACTGGATGGCTAAGGAAGGCCTCTCTGATAAGGCGACACTGGAGCAAAATCCTGAAGGAAGTAAGAGACCAAGCCTTGTGGATATCTACAGGAAGAGAATTCCAGCAAATGCCAAGACCCAGAGGGACTTGTCTTTGCATAGTCCAGGAACCACAGAGGAACCAGTGTGATGAGAGGGCGTGAGCCAGGGGAACAGGGCTCTGGAGCTGGGAACAGACTACGGATGGATTATGAGGGGCATGGAGGCTACCATAAGGCATTGGCTTTGATTGTGAAAGAGATGGGACTCAGGGAGGCTCTGATCAGAAGAGTGGTATCCGCTGATTTTCCTATTAAAAACATCTTTCTGCTGGTTCCATGAAGAGTAAGAGTACAGGGGCACCTGCGTGGCTCATTCATTAAGCCTCTGCCTTCGGCTCAGGTCATGATCCCAATTTCCTGGGATCGAGCCCCACATCGGGCTCCCTGCTCAGTGAGGAGCCTGCTTCTCCCTCCCTGGCTCCCCCTGCTTGTGTTCCCTCTCTCACTGTTTCTCTCTCTCTGTCCATCAAGTAAATAAATATAATCTTTAAAAAAAAAAAAAAAAAGAATAAGAGTACAGGGATAAGAGTGGGAACAAGGAAACCAGTTTTTGCCTTTTATAAAAAAACAAAACAAAACAAAACAAATCACCAGACTTACAACTGATTCCAATGCCTGGCAGGTATAAAAAATGACACAGTGGAGATCTCAACTTTAAAAAGGAGAAGGAAACAATTTGTAGTGACCCTTTGGAAGATTTACAATTCCAAATGTCTTGGGAACCTGTGAGCATCAGAAAGGTTAAGTATTAGCTCCCAGAGAGTAGTACAGAAAAGAGAGAGTAAACCCAGAACAGAGATTCCAACCTGTGCCCAACTCGAGGACTGATATAATCAACCACTTCCTTTAAATTCCTGCCAAATCTCATCTTTCCATTTTCACATTTCAGCCAAAATGAGCTTCCTAAAGTACAGATATGACTTCCTACCTCCCCCTTAAAACTCTCCATTGGTTGCTCCTTGCTCTAAAAACAAACCCAATCTTTTCAATAGGCTGTTCAGACCTTTTAGGATCCAGTCTCCAAGTTCTAGAATATGGAAATTCTCTCCATTTCCTGACCATGACAACACTTTCTTGCCTCCAGGGCTTTCAGGATTGTGTTTTCTGTGCTCCAAACTATTTTGTGTCTTAGAAGCAAAGGTCAAAATGGCACAACAACAAATCATGGTCAGTTGCCCAAGAGATTAACAGTAGGTTTTATTCGTAAACACGATGGCAGACAATATGCTAAATTCTTTATATGTAATATTATATCTAATACTTACACTAACAAGTGTTGTTATTTTACATAGCTCCTGGTGTTGCCATTTCCATTATGGTCCATGAGAATGGCACCACCTGGAGTTGTGCAATGCAGTGTCCTAAGAATGACATTTTGCAGTAGATATTATTAACCCATTTCAGAAATGGGTTCACTGAGCCTCAGACAGGTTAAGTGCTTGTCAGAAAGTCATACAGATAGGAAACTCCTGAACTAAGATCCAAACCCTGATAAGAGCATCCCTGATAGTGTATGAAGTCATCTCAGAGAGTACTGGGTTTGGGCCTCTTGGCTTCTATGCAGGGTAAGGAGGGCCTCAGTAGCAAAAGTTCCATGGAAGGTTTCCAATAGCCTGACTTTTATCTTATGGATTAGAGACTCCAACAGACAGGCATCCACAGCTATGATGTAATGTGTGAGCTGACATGCCCTAGAGACCACTGCCCCTTACCTTTAGCAATTACCCGACCACCTCTTCCTACATACATTCTCAAGGCAATCTATAAGGTCAGCCAAAAAGAAAGAGAGAAAGAAAAGGGAAAAAAAGCCCTCCCCCAACCCACATCTCACAATTGTTATTAGCCAAAAAGGTACAGATGTCTAAGAGTGGATGCAACTGTAAAAAATCTGATCAGAGAAAAAGGAAAGGGCTTTCTGAGGTTAAGTCCAAAACATCACGATTATATTCAAAAGGTGGCAGTATTATAATTTGTGAAATCTATAGACACAAAACACTGATACAGGTTTTTGGCAATGGAAAGAATTCTCTGGACTTTAGTTTTTTCTTTTATTAAATTAACACCAAATTCAAATGTTTGGGAGGAGAGGGGGCAGAGAGCATCTAAACGAGAGGTTCTTCTTCATTCTTTCATTTCAGGGTCTTTCCTTCATCATCAGATTCAAGCAGATCCTCCCTACTGTCTCCTCAAATATATATTTCCATAAAAATTCAGCAGGAAAGAGGCTGCTAGTATGTTGTTCTGCTGCCTGGCTTTTTTTAATATTCTGTCCTGATCACCTGAACTCTGGAACAAGGATAGGCTGGTTTTCACGGTGCTTTCCGAACAACTCTTATGTTCTCAGCCAGTTCTTGCTCAGGAATAGCCGTTACATCATCCAAATGAGCCTACAGCACCATAGCAAGAAGACCCAGAGTGTCTTCTGCTCATTCTTTATCTTGAAGCCAACAGACAACCCCAGCTCCTACAGAGGGATGTGCTTTTGTAGTAGCACATAAAGAGTAATGTGAACGGCACATGATGAAGGATGGGGAAAAGAGCTCCAACTGGAAAAGCCCAGACACCAGCATTGAAGGGACAAGTTAGAGGAAGGGGACATGTACCTGCAAGGCAGATTTTTGGCAAATGGCTTCTATAAAGGGTGAGGAAGAGTCCCCCCCCACCCCCGGCCATGGAGGCCTAAAGACTCATCAGGCAGCAGAGCAATGGGTTCCTTATGGG